TTACTCAGTCGCCGTCACTCTTGCTTGAGAAGTAGAGGTACCAGGCGGCGGATGCCGGCTAGACCCCTTGATTCGCCAAAGTTTGTTGGCTATTAACTCAAGAGGTACCCCCTGCATTTATCCCAAGTAATACAGGCGGTCATCTGACTCAGATGTCAACTGCTACCACTGGTTTGGTTAGTGATAGAGTTATCCTTGTCTCAACAACGGCTACGTGGTTGCCCTTGGGGACAGTCGTATAGGTGCCGTGTAATTAGTTTATAGAACAATGTTCCACCCAAAAAGGAGCTTCTCTCTGCGACGAATTTCATCCGTAGGGATGCCGCCGGACGCCTGCTATGATGTTGGGACAGGTCGTATTAGTTTTGTAGATTTGATCAGTTGGCTTGGCGCCTGGTCTGATCATTCGGCCTGTGGCCTTGGTAAGTTCTTGGTGAACGTAGGTGCTAAGAGGAGGGTAGCAGCCTGTTAGGAACAGGGTCGGCCAGGCCCTAACCTTTTTTAGCTAAGTATAAGGGGGGTGGCTATGTGTTTGGATCCAGTCGGCCATCTTCTTATTGAGAGTAGGCGACTATATGTCCAGACGACATGCCCTTATTGTGAGTAAAATACTCAATGGAGAGTAGCCGACTGTAAAGGTACAGACAGCATGCCCCTCTGAAGAGAGTAAAAATACTCAATGGAGAGTAGCCGACTGTAAAGGTACAGACGGCATGCCCCTCTGAAAATAGAGTAAAATACTCAATGGAGAGTAGCCGACTGTAAAGGTACAGACGGCATGCCCCTCTGAAAATAGAGTAAAATACTTAATGGAGAGTAGCCGACTGTAAAGGTACAGACGGCATGCCCCTCTATTAGTAAGAATAAAAATTAAACATGGAGAGTAGCCGACTATTTGTTAGTAGGCGTGCCCCTCTTAGTACAAAATTGAATAGTAAGTGCAAACTTTTATTAAGTAGCTCTTGACTATTTACATCATTCAAAAGAAATATTTCTTAAGATTATCTACATTCCAAGTTCGAGGCAACGGTTGTCCGTCTGGTGTTTCCAGACGGTAGGTACCGTCCCTGACTTCCTCATAGATTCGGTAGGGTCCTTCCCAGCTGGGAGTTAGTTTGCCAGACTCATTAGCCCTACCAACTGCTTCCATTTTTCTAAGTACAAAGTCCCCTACTTTGAGTGGACGCCTGTGTACTTTTTTGTTGTATGATCTAGTCATTCTCAGGCGATAGATTTCATGGCGCAAGACAGCATTGCCCCTCTTTTCAGGAAGTGAGTCTAATGCCAGGCGCATGGCTTCCCAGTTTGCCTCTTCGTCATATAGCATTACTCGAAGAGTCGGCTCGTAGTGTTCTATTGGAAGAATAGCTTCCGCACCGTAAGTTAGGAGGAATGGAGTTTCTCCAGTCGCCCCTTTTTCAGTCGTCCTAATGGCCCAGAGAACATGTGGTAGTTCATCCGCCCATAGGCCGCCTGCTCGTTCAATCTTTTTCTTGAGACCGTCCGAGATGATTTTATTAAAGGCTTCTACCTGGCCGTTTGCTTGTGGACGGCCGACAGATGCAAAGTAGTTTGCAATTCCTTGGTCACCCAACCAGCTTTTGAGAACAGGCGTCTCAAATTGAGGACCATTATCAAAAACCATAGACATGGGAACCCCAAACCGAGTGATGACATTTTTCCAGATGAATGAAATTACATCCTTCGTCTTGATTCCCTTTACAGCCTCCGCCTCTACCCATTTAGTGAAGTAGTCAACGGCAACAAGTATGTACCTCCTTCCGCCTGTAGCAGGCGTATATGGACCCAGAATGTCCATGCCCCACTTAGCAAACGGTAGTGGGCTGTGAATGGTAGTGAGGTCAGTAGCCGGACGGTGAATTAGTTTGCCAAACCTTTGGAACTTGTCACATTTTTTCACCATCTCCATTGCATCTGCTTCCAAAGTAGGCCAAAAGTAGCCCTGCCGCCTTGCCCTTTGAGCAAGCGTCCTACCGCCTATATGAGAAGCACAGTAACCAGAGTGAAGGTCGTCTAGTATCTCTCGTCCCTTTTCTGGAGTAACACAATTTAAGAAGGGTTGAAGGTACCCCCTTTTGTGAAGTTCTCCCTTTATCATTTCAAAACAAGTGGCTCGTTTTTTCAGTGCTGCCGCCTGTTGAGGATCATCCGGCAGTGTACCGTTTGTCAGATATGCCCTGATTGAATCCATCCAGGTTGAGCTTCTGTCTAGGATTCCAATAGGGTTTTCCTCGATGCTTCTCTTCTCCATTACTTCCCAAAAACCAGTTCGAGGAGTATCAGAGGAGGCGGATGATGCTAATTTTGACAGTGCATCCGCCTGGTTGTTTTCTGATCTCGGCACTTGGATCAGATGGAAATCCTCAAGGGAGCCGACTGCTTGTCGGACCGCCTGTAAATACTTGATCATGGCCGGATGGGTTGCTTCGTATTCGCCATTGTACTGACTCACTATCAATTGTGAATCGGAACAGGCGTCTATTTTTCTTGCCCCTGCCGCCTTGCACATGCGGATCCCGGCTAGTAAAGCTTCATATTCTGCCTCATTGTTTGAAGCCTGAAAACTGAAGCGTAGAGCATACTCGTACCTGTCGCCCTCTGGCGACTGACATATGACGCCTGCTCCACAACCATTTGAAGTAGAGCTTCCGTCCATATATACCTTCCATACTTGGTCTGGAACTTGAGAGTCAGGAGGACGAGTCATCTCTACAATAAAGTCAGCAAAAGCTTGCCCCTTCACTGCTTTTCTAGGCTCGAAAGTAACTTCGAGGCTCTGTATTTCTATGGCCCATTTGATCATTCGGCCTAACGACTCCATGATGGTAAGGGGCCGCTTGATAGGTTGGTCTGTATACACGACGACTGCATGATCCCCACAGACGGCGCCAAATGTTTCGGGGTTTTTTGATGTCCTGCGGGAGAGTTACAATTCCGAGACTGGAACCGGACGCCTATACCTGCAAAATAACGGAGACTCCTGGGAGCTCCGCCTCCAACGGTCAAGTTAGTACTTGATTAAGGAGTAATTAATGCGGAAATTAAAGTGATTGGGTCTCTCTAGGTGAGAGTGTTTAATGTAGGTAATCTGCTTTGTTAGCGAGATCAGCCGGTTATTACTGTGTGTAATTAATGTGTTTTTTTGTTATCCCCCTTAATGAGGATTAAGGGAGGTATTTATAACCTTGGGAAACGTGCCCATCCTAGGTTTAGGTTAACCTAGGGCCGATTGGGCTTCCCTCGGAAGTTGGGCCTGGGTGGCCGGTTTCTCCATTAGGCATGGAGTATGCCACATGTCATGACATAATAGGTCCAAGGTGGACGAATAAGCGCGTGCCACGTGGCAAGCCCTGACAGTTCCACTGGGGGAAACCTGGCAGGACCAGATTGGCCCACGTGGCGCATTCCGATTGGTGGGAGCAAAATCCCCTAATCATGAAGGTTAAACTGTAACCATAGAAAAGAGTCGGAGAGTGTAGTATCTTTTGACAAATGTATTTTTATCTATTAACTATTAATAAAACAAAACATTGCTGACATTATCTTTCCTCAAAACTGTATACGTGTCGCTTTCTAATGAAATTTTTTCCCACCTAAACCATTGATGATGTCATTTTTTTGTGATAATAATTTTTTTTTCTTCTTCTTTTATGTGATACTTCGTAAACAAGCTAATTAAGTTCTTTCAACAACTTTAGTCTAGAATACCGAAGTATAGTAAATTGAATAGCAACTGTATTCCTTTCTTTTGATTTAAAGTTCTATCATTCCCTCTCCTCAATTCCTTAACACTAATTTTCAAACGTCCAGAAATTTTCTAAAATATTCAAACTGTATTCCTTTAAAGAAAACTCGTTCCAATGAATTTATGATAAAATTGAAAAGATTCATTGTATATACAAGTTCTATGCTATAATTTTTTTTATTAAAATCGTGCATCGCACGGGGATAATCTAATTTATAATAAACAATGAAAACCAATGTATGGCACGAGACTTAACATAGTTATATTTATATAGGGAGTAAAAAATACTCTTTATTTAAGGCTAGCATACATTATGTTTAATATGGATTAGTGTTATCAAACAATTTCAAAATATTTAAATGATTATCTGGCTGATAAAAAATAAAAAGCTAAATTCCAAAAATGTAGATGTATGTGCTCTTAGTTAGTTTCCACTGACATAAATGGAAGTTGAAACAATGGAAGTTGAAATAATAGAGGAAATTAATTACTAGCACAATCCTCCTTAGAATTATAAATAAAAACTTTTATGTACATCCGCTTTATAATAATATTAGTGTATATCGAACTGTTATAGGGTAACTTTTAGTCAAACTATTAACCTTCTTTGGAGTAAGTTAAAATATGGTATGATTTAAAATATATAGACAATGAAATAAGTTTTATAAGGGTAATATACTTACTTTCACTCATTGAGATTTGATTTTTACTTATTTAAAGAGGGTAACTATATTGATAAAACATTGATTATATTTTTATTTAATTTGGAATAATTTTCATTTAGGATAACAATTATTTACTTTGGGGCATCCTTTAATTATTTTAAAACAACTTTACAACGAATATACAATATTTATTGTACACCTAAATTTTTTTAAAGTTTGTGAATTAAAAATAACTACATCCAACCAAAACAAAACTTAGGTCATGTTTAGCTCACCTTATTTTTACTTATTTCGAATTAGATCAGAAAAAATAAATTCATATTAAAAAAAAAAAATAGTTTGTGACATACTTTATCATTTTAGATGTGGTTTTTTATCGTTAAATATCTCTAATTTCATAATTAAAAAAATTATGAAAATCACATATTAATAAAATACACATTATTATGAATCAAACAAGACTTACATATTTTTTTTATAGATTATCATGCACATAAGATCAATGTTTGGTCAAATCATACAATCGAACCAGATCAGATTAAATCATATCAAATCAGATCAGATTAAAGCACATCAGACCAAATAAGATCGGATAAACAAAAATATGGTGAATTAAACTATAGTTACTCGTGGCACTTTGTAGGAAATAAAACTTCACATGCATTGAAAATTCACGAAAATTACTACTCCATCCAACCAAAAAAACACATCCTACTCCAAAGAAGTAAAGATAAAAGTGTTCTTAACCTACTCCATTTTGTTTCAACCAAAAAGCGCGTAGGTTAACACATCCTCCTCTTAAATAAACAACCTAACCCCATCATCATTTTCTACTTCCTCATTTCAAACCGAAACTTCATCAAACCAAATCTCAACTCACCCTTTTTTTTTTTTTTCAAACCCATTCTTCCTCCAATCAACCACTTCCCATTAATTAATAAAAAAACAAACAAACCAAGATTCAACCCTATAACTCCATTACCATCAAAACCAATCTCCAAAACCACAAAATAAAATAAAATCAAAACACAATGATAGAAGAAGCAGCACGGGGTCCGCCGCACGGCATTCTACTAGCAGTAGTAGTAATACTGGTAGTTTCAGGACCCATGTTAATCGGTGATTGGGAAGCCATTACTGAATCAATCTCCGAGTTTATAAGTCCCATTGGACTTCTTTTACTACCAATAATACTTCTTCTTATAATCCAGTTTCTATCTTCGGATCGTGGTAACTTCTTCACTTCAATCTTTACCGCTACTGGTGAACCCGACTCCATTCACCGTGCTAGTGGCTCTCCTTTCGGTGTCGCTCTCGTTCTTGCCATCGTTCTCTTTCTTGTTTACAATCGTATGTCGCTCTTCGGCGGTGACGATGATTCTGATGATTGACTATTACAGTAGATCTGATGAAGATGAGTTAATTAATTTTGGGTTGAAAAGTAGTGGGATCTTTGGGTTAATTTTGCTTTTTTTTTTTTTTTTTTGTTTCTTTTTGCTTTTGTTTTGTACTCATTTTGTCGTGAGTTAATCAACTATTTAATTGCTTTTAATTATTTCGATTGTGCATAGATAAATTATGTAAGTGTAATAGTGAGTTAGTGATAGTTTACTAGTAAAAGATGTTTGTTATTGTATTTAGTACGAGTATGAAATTGGAAAATTAATCATACGCGTTTGGAAAATTGGTATTGCTTTTTTTGGTAGGATTTTTACTTTCGGTTTTGATTTACACACACATTACACTATTGACAAATTTTGAGTAGTGACGAATTTTGAAAAATTGGAATTGGAATTCAACTTTATTCATTTGTCAATAGTATAATAAGTTTCTGATGACGAATTTTGGAAAATTGGAATTGGAAATTTAATTTTGCCCGAAAATATTAAAATGACTAAGATTTGTGCTCGGCCCCGGTTTATTGTCCGCCTATAACTCTCTCTAAGTAAGCAGTAATATTGAACATCTTTTCTATAATAATGGTATACATCGTATATAAATTGTGACAGAATTGTCAATCTTTGTTACTGCTTTATGTTATTTTTCTAAAACAATCTCCAATGTTAAGATTTGAGGGAGTTTTTTTAGAAGAGAGAGAGTATTTTTTTGCAAAGGATACTAATAAGTTAGTATCTAAAGTTAGCAACTCAAAAAAGAAGTTGCCAAGTTTAGATACTCAATTTTGAGTCTCATTTGACAATAAGTGTGGGCCCTTTATCAATATTATAATATATTTTGTAATTTATTTAAGTTTTATTTTATATTTTTTTTAAAAAAACTTACAATATGGATTTGGTGGCTCATAAATTAAAAGTAACATTAGTATACTTTAGAGTGTCTCACCATTGGGAAATTACACTTAACATGAGTTGTTAAATTGAGAAGTGGGTTGAGTATCACCATTAGAGGTAACAAACAACTCATTTTGTGTTTCAATACTCAAAGTTGAGTCTCACCAGTGGAGATGATCTAATTTATCTTTCCGGATAGCAATTTTTGAGACAATTCAAACAACTTTTTTTTTTATTTATTATTTATTTTTACACACAATTCAAACAATAACTTATGTGATTGTTTTCTTATGACCAAATTGAGCGTGTAAATGTTTTTTAAAAAAGTCAAAATTAGTCAAATAAAAATAAAATTGAGGAAGTATTACTAATTGACTACGGAGTAAGGTTTATTATTACTTCTTATCTTTTTAAAACACATTGAGTATTTACACTATTTACAAACATTTTTTTAACTCTTTTTTGTAATCTAAACATTATGAAAAACATGATGTGAAGTATTGTTACTCCCTTCATTTTTTATAAGTGTTAAGATAAATGGTAAGTGGGGTAATAAACTAATAAACAGTCCAGTACGAAAAAATTACTTTATTCTAATAATTAATACCATCGTAGATCTCTTGATAATTTTACAAGTCTCTCAGACTAGTGATAGGATAGGCTGATAATCAGGAAACAACCTAATTAGGTGATTCTTTTATACAAAGGGCTTAAGTTTGATATGTGTTTAAAGTACGGACCTTATCAGCTTGTTTTTTAGTATGTACTAACAAATCTACACCATATGATATGGTGTCCATATCCTAATAGGAGGAAGAGATGGGACTTTTGTGACTTATTACATCATAATCTCATTAAACCTTAGAGAATAATTGATCAGATTGGTAAATAAAAAAGATTCTTAGCAATAATTTGGTAAAATAAATAACTCCGGTGACAATATGGTAAAAAAATTTAACTCCATGCGACAATTTGGTAAGAAAATTAATCTCAGACGACCTTTAGGCCAAAATGTAAAAAATTTCCAACAAAGTCTTAAAATTTCCTAATTTATTTTTCCCATTTAAAAATTAAAATTAATATGTCATCTCCTTTTATTTTACTTATAAATCACAATACCAAATTTATTTTAAACCCCTTTTTTTTAAAAAATAATTCGTTAATAAGGGGTGATTTGGGTAATTTTTACCCCAGCCACGTGGACCAATAAGAGCGTGACACGTGTCACCCTAGGAAGAGTCCAAAATGGATCTACCAGAACATGACATGTGGCAAGAAGATAATAAAGGAAATGACAGTTTTCAAGGCCCATTTCCCAAGGCACCGTAAAACGGCGCAGTCCACCAAATCGAGGTCAAGTGACCTATATAAGGGCACTATTTACAATGGCCTATAAATAGGGACATTTACCCCATTTTGGGGACATGTTCATTTATTACATCATTTACTATTCTCTTACAACAGAGAAACCACCTGGTCTCGGGATCCGTGAAGATTTACCTATTTTCCGCATTTTACTCTCCGTACACGTACTAACTTGATTGTCGGAGGCGGAGCTCTGAACAACCGGAGCTTTCGTTTGTTGCAGGTACAGCCGAGCAAGGAGCCAGTCTTGGTGACGTAACTCTCCCGTAGGACATCTCGCAAAAAAAACCCGAAACATTTGGCACCGTCTTTGGAGAGAGTACCTCTAAGGTGGTTTCTCAAGAAACTGCACCGCTTCCTGAGGACAAACGTCCAGAAAGAGAGGTCCATTTGGACCACGATATAGAATCAGATCCAAAGGTCGAAGTACATACGGCCGAAGATAGATCCCTCATCACTGGTTCAAGCAAGGGACAGACGTCCAAGAAACCTGCTCCCTCTGGGAAGATAAAGCCGGTCAAGGACAGGCAGCCCACTCCACATCTAAAACAGAAGGAAGGGGACCGACCCTTAATTGGCTGGACTAATATTCGTCTCCTAGGGGGCGAATCAGAGAAAGCCCATCCGGCATGTACAACCGGATGACAACAAGAAGACTTACGTTGATGCTCGACATTTCATTCAGCAAAAGAGGAACAACCAACCGTCTGACACGGCATCAACGCCAACAATGCCAGACAGCTTCAGGGATACCTCGATGAGGTATTCCCCATCTTCACAGGAGCACCTGTCACGCGGCCAGTCCGTCCACACGGGTCCTTAAATGATAGGCTCGGTGCCGTATGTGCCCCATAAAACATACGGGCCGTGTGCCCAACCTTATCAGCAACCTATCCTCTTTGAAGGTCAGGCGGCATATCATGTACGGCCCCTGGAGTAGCAGCTATTGATGAGTGGCATTTATGCCATCATTTCACCCTTTTTCACTAGAGAATTTCCCCGATTTGTCACTTATTTATACCTCTTCTTACCGTTTTTACCTTTATTTTAGTTACTTTCGCTCTCTCTCGTGTTTTTCCTTCTCTTTTATCTTTTCGTTTACTTTTTACCTTCTATTCGTGTGTTTTGATAGCTCCTAGCACTCGTGGGCGGATTTTGGATTGCTAAACAGAGTTGGAGTTGCTAAGGTAGCTTTCTCAAGGAAGAGTAGATGCTGCAAAGGAAGAGGAGATGCTGCAAAGAAGAGGGCGCGCTGCAACGGGAAGCCGCGGGCGCGGACAGGTGGATCTTGAGCTACATAGAAGTTTATGGAGATGGCTAGGAGAAGGCCTGGAGAGGGCGCGGCTCAGAGGGCCGCAGGCGCGGCAGTATTGGCCGCGGGCACGACGAGCTGGAATTTCCCAACTTTGTACCCACGAAGGAGAGAGCGCGACAGCTTGACTAGAGAGGCCTCTCCCATGCCCGTTTTCCTTGTTTTAACAAGAGACTAAAAATAGTATTTGGCTTGAATCTTCATGTATCTACTATTCCATTGGACATCAAAAAAAATTTGAGAGAGAATATGAACATCTTTTAGAGAGAGAAAATAGCTAGTCTTCAAGTTTCAATCTTTGTAATCATGATATTCAAGTTTTCTTCAAGAATACTGCAACTATTTCATGTTTGGCTAATCCCTCAACATTTATAATAGTAATCTCTTTTCCTTATTCTCTAGTTTTTAGTTTTATTGTTCTTATTAGTGTTTTCTTCATCAAGTATCCTTGCTTTACTTGTTTCATTGCTTACTCTTTGATTTAGAATCATGTTAAGTTGTGTTAGGATTGAATACATGTTTAATTTAGTTGTCATTTCTATTTTCCTTTCTCTAGCTTAGATTTCTAGCTAGGGAAAGGGGGTGAAAATCATGTTTGCTTGAGTTTCCATTGATTATTGATTGGCTTTTGCCTTGAGTTGATGATTTGTGCTTAAAGATGATTGGAGTTATTGTTGTGCACCTTTAACCCCAATATTTTAGTTCTAGATTAGATGCATGAGAATGATCTAGTTTAGGTTTGATTGATTTCATCAACTTGCTTTGAGTAATTGCATGAGAATGAATTATTTTTATTAGAGTTTGTCCTCCTTGGCATGAATCCATATTGATTTTCATAGTTGTCTTGTTGGTCATGATTGGATACCCCTCTCCCTAGTGCTTTTTGACTATATTATCTTCATAGTCTTGCTTTTCATCTTCATTTTAGAGTGTCTAGTTCAATCTCCTTATTTTTGGCTTGATTAGTCTCTTGTGGTAGATAGTTTAATCATAGAACTTCTCAAAAACAAACTATAATACCCCCTTTTTTACTTGCAATAGATTCTAGATTTCACAGTGATTGTGCAATACCCCGTTTCTCTAGGATTCGACCCTGACTTGCCACTATCTAATATAAATTTGATAGAGCTAGGTTAGGAGTAAAAATTGTAAATTTGATCTAGGGTAGTAATAACGACCTATTGCCCCCCGATCAAATTTTTGGCGCCGTTGCCGGGGAAACGACTTGTTTTGCACTCTTATTGTGTTATTATTTGATTTGTTGCCTTTTTATTTTGTTCCTTTACTCTATTGCTAGTCATTGCTAATTGTTTGCTTAGCTTTGGGGATGCAAAGGAGATCTCAAGGACCTCATACACACTTCATTGACCATGAAATTGACCGCACATTGCATTGAGACAAGTCCGAAGACTTTATCAAGAAGAGGGGCGAGGTCTTGGTGCTATAGTGAGAGTGATTCTTGGTCTTCAAGTTCTCAAAGCGACGAAATGGCGAGGCAAGAGAATGATGTTTTGTTTTGTGAGTTTGGGAATCTCGAGGATTATGAGCTCACGGGAGGGATTTTGCTACCCATCACGGAAACCAATTTTACCATTCATCCTCAATACACTAGAATGGTTCAAGCGGAGCAATTTTCGGGCTCTCCAAGTGAAGATCCTATTGAGCATCTTGATAGATTCCTTGAGCTTTGTGCCATGATTCAAACCAACCAAGTTTCTCAAGAATACATCCGTATGCACTTATTCCGACAATCTCTTTTGGGTAGAGCAAAGAAGTGGCTCAAACAAGTCAAGCCAAACTCTCTCACGACATGGAGGGAGATAGTTAAGGCATTCTTGAAGAGGTTCATTTCCGAAGAAAAGACCGCTGAGATGAGAAGGAAGATTGCATCATTTGAACAAGAAGCCGATGAGAGTCTTAGTGAAGCTTGGGAAAGATTCAAAGAGTTGGTACAAGCATGTCCTCATCACGAATACAATCAAAGCTTGCTCATGAGATTCTTCTATGATGGGTTGGAACCTATGTATAGAGCTAACTTGGATGCGGGGACGGGTGGCCAATTGATTAAAGTACCTCAAAATCAAGTCAAAGCAACAATTGAAGAGGTAGTGAAGAACTACTCTTGGGGTGGTAGAAGGAGGAATGCACCAAAGAAGGGAGGAAAGTATGAATTGGAGAAGGTTTATCAATTGCAACATCAAATTAAGCTTTTGACAAAAGGGCTTGCAAAGTTGAATACGAGTGTCAATAGTGGGGCAAGCTCCTCCCAAGTCAATTCTTTCTCTTGTCAAAATTGTGGTGGAACAAACCATGATACATCTTATTGTGGTGGTTTGAGCCCGGAGCATGTGGCGGCATACAACACAAGGCAAGATGGATATAGGGGAAGTGGCGGTGGAGTAGCTTGGAGACAACCACCACCCAGATTTGCTCACCAACCTCAACAATGGAATCAAAAAGCTCAACAATTATACAACTCCAACCCCCAATACCAAAACTCACCTCCATTCCAAACCCAAAACCCAAGAGGAAACTACCCAAGAAACAACCAACACAATAATCAAAACCAATACCACAATCAAAATCAAGCGGCTCAAAGGAGTCAAAAGCAAGCATCTCAACCCAATTCTACTCAAACCCAAATTCTTCAACAACTTCAAGCCATGAATTAACAAATGTAAGAGGTCAAGGCTCATAACAAGATGATTGATTCACAACTATCTCAATTGGCCGAGAGAGTCCCTTTCAACTCACCTTCTACTCTACCCGGACAATTACAAACTAACCCTTCCAACATTGTGAAACCCGACTCTTGCAAGGCAATCACATTGAGATCGGGTACATCCTATGAGGGTCCTAAGGAGGGGGATAGTGAGGAAAAGAAGGAAGGAGAAGAGAGTGTGGGTGAAGATAAGGAAGTTGAAGAAGAGAAGGTTGTTGAGAAAGAGAGAAGTATGGAGAAAAAGAAGTATAAAGATGTGGTGACATCTTTAACTCCCAGTGAGGCTAGGAATCTTGATGGTCCGGTTCCCTTTCCCGGTCGACTTTTGGAGAGGAAGTTGAATGATAAGTTTGCAAAGTTCCTTAGTGTGATGAAGAACTTGCACATAAACCTCCCTTTCATTGAAGTTGTCACACAAATGCCTTCATACTTTAAGTTCTTTAAAGATATTCTCACTAACAAGAGGAAGCTTAATGATGAGCTTATCACTCTCGCCCATCAAGTGAGTGTACTTGTTCAACATAAGATGCCCAAGAAGCAAAAGGATCCGGGAAGTTTCACTTTGCCGGTAAAGATTGGGAATATGGAAGCTAGGGGCGCCTTAGCCGATCTTGGAGTAAGTGTTAGTTTGATCCCTCTATCCATTGCTCAAAGATTAATATTGAAATGATCCCCACAAGAAAAACTATCCAATTGGTCGACCGTTCGGTGAAGTTGCCTTGTGGTGAGCTTGAAGATGTCCCAATTCAAGTTGGGCATATTTATGTGCCTTGTGATTTCGTAGTGATGGATATGGAGGAGGATGTCGCTACTCCCTTGATTTTGGGTTGTGAAGCTCTTAAGACTTTGGGGGCGGTGATCAATTGCAAGAACAACACCATTACATGTGAGGTTTCCGATGAAAAGATTGTCTTTGAGTTCTCTAAGTTGCTCAAGACCCCCATGGTTGAGAAGTTCTATAGGGTTGATGTTGTGAATGAGGAGTTGGATCGATTAGGAAGGGTTATGATGAATCCTCAAGATCCAATGGTTGAAGCTCTTACATGCAAGGAAGAGTACCATTCTCAAGAAGCAAAAGAGTTTGTCATGGCCATTGAAGAATCCAAAAAGGAGGAAGATGATGATCCTAGGGATGATGAGCTTGAACTAGCGGATGAGAAATTGGAGGAGAGTTCCAAGCCTCCTCCCAAGGTAGAACTCAAACCTCTTCCCCCCTCTTTGAAATATGCTTATCTTGGAAATGAAGGGGGATACCCTATTATTGTCAATGCTACCCTTGATGGTCTTGATTTGGAAAAATTGCTTGTTGTATTGAGAAAATATAGAGATGTGATAGGGTATAGCATTGATGATATCAAGGGTATTAGCCCCTCTTTATGCATGCATCGTATTCATCTTGAGGATGATCAATCCACCTTGATTAAGCCTCAAAGGAGGTTGAACCCCAACCTCCAAGAGGTTATCAAGAAGGAAATCTTGAAATTACGTGAAGCGGGCATAATTTATGCTATCTCCGATAGCAAGTGGGTTAGCCCAGTTCACGTGGTTCCAAAGAAAGGTGGAATGACCATCGTTAAGGGAGAAGAAGGAGAGGACATCTCCACCCGGACGGTGACCGGGTGGAGAATGTGCATTGATTATAGGAAGTTAAACAAAAATACAAAGAAAGACCATTTTCCTCTCCCCTTCATGGACCAAATGTTGGAGAGACTCTCTAACCATGCTTTCTTTTGTTTCTTGGATGGATATTCCGGATTTTTCCAAATCCCTATTCACCCAAATAACCAAGAGAAAACTACTTTCACATGTCCATATGGAACATTTGCATACAGAAGAATGCCATTAGGGTTATGCAATGCTCCTTCAACTTTCCAACGATGCATGACTTCCATTTTTTCCGAGATGCTTGAAAATGAGATTGAGGTTTTTATGGACGATTTTAGTGTTGGTGGCTCGTCTTTTAACACTTGTATTTATAATCTTGAAAAAGTTTTGAAAAGGTGTCAAGAGATGAGTTTGGTTTTAAATTGGGAGAAATGCCATTTTATGGTCGAGGAGGGTATTGTCCTAGGCCATAAAGTGTCAAAGAAGGCAATTGAGGTTGATTCGGCCAAGGTTTCGGTGTTTACAAAGTTGCTCCCTCCTACTTTCGTTGCGGGAGTGAGAGCTTTTCTAGGGCATGCCGGTTTTTATCGGAGGTTTTATCAAAGATTTCATCAATCGCCAAACCTTTGACCGAATTACTCAAGAAAGATGTTGCGTTTAACTTTGATGAGGCTTGTCTTGAGGCATTTCAAAAACTCAAGGAAGCTCTCATTTCGTCTCCCACTGTGCAAGCTCTGGATTGGAGCTTTCCTTTTGAGCTAATGTGCGATGCGAGTGATTTTTCAGTAGGTGCGGTGCTTGGGCAAAAGTAAGAAGGATGATCTCATGTCATCTACTATGCAAGTAGAACACTTGATGAAGCTCAAAAGAATTACACAACGACGGAGAAAGAAATGCTTGCGGTTGTGTTTTCCATGGACAAGTTTAGGTCCTATCTTATATGCTCCAAAGTGATTGTGTACACGGATCATATAGCGGTTCTCTATCTTATGACCAAGAAGGAAGCTAAGCCACGCCTCATCCGTTGGGTTCTTTCGCTCCAAGATTTTGACATGGAGATGAGAGATAAAAAGGGAGCGGAGAACTTTGTGGCGGATCATTTGTCTAGGCTTCCTTTTGAGAACAAGGAGGATATGCCAATCAATGAAGAAGTAGGATTTGAAACTCTCATGGCTATGGCTTCAACATCTAGCCCGTGGTATGCGGATATAGCTAATTAAATTGCTTGCGGGGTCATTCCCCTAGAGTTTTCTTCTCAACAAAAGAAGAGGTTTTTCAAGGAAGTGAGGAGGTACTTTTGGAATGACCCCTACTTGTTTAAACTGTGTGGAGATGGCCTCTTCCGGAAATGTGTTCCGGACCATGAGATTGAAGGAGTCCTTGAGCATTGCCACTCATTACCGTGTGGAGGACATGGAGGAGTTGATAAGACAGTGGCAAAGATTTCTCAATTTCTCTTATGGTGGCCAACGATGCATAAGGATGCCCATAAGTTCGTTTCAAGATGTGACAAGTGCCAAAGAAGTAGTGGCATAACCAAAAGGGATGAGATGCCTCAACAAAACATTTTAGAAGTTGATCCATTTGATGTTTGGGGTGTCGACTTTATGGGGCCTTTTATCTCTTCATGTGGAATTTGTATATCTTGGTAGCGGTGGATTATGTTACTAAGTGGGTTGAAGCTATACCCTCCCTTACCAATGATCATAAGGTTGTGCTTAAGCTTCTCAAGAAAGTCATATTTCCGCAGTTCAAGGTTCCTAGGGTGCTAATTAGTGATGGAGGTTCTCATTTCGCCAAGAAGAAAATCGAAGCTCTTCTTAAGAGATATGGGGTTCATCACAAAGTTGGTCTACCTTACCATTCTCAAACCCAAGGGCAAGTGGAGGTGTCAAATATAGAGATCAAGAACCTTCTTGAAAGAATGGTGAACAAATTTAGGATGGATTGGTCCCTCAAGCTTGACGACACACTTTGGGCCTTGCGGACGGCGTACAAGACTCCAATTGGTACAACCCCCTATCGGTTGGTCTATGGGAAGGCTTGTCATTTGCCGGTTGAGTTGGAATTTAAAGCTTGGTGAGCAATCAAGGAGCTAAACATGGATATGTTGTTGGCCGGTGAGAAGAGATTGCTCAAGCTCAATGAACTTGAAGAGCTTAGATATGATGCCTACGAGAACCCGAGACTATACAAGGAGAAAACTAAGAAATGGCACGACCGACATATAAGGAACAAGAGCTTCAAGGTTGGAGATAAGGTGTTGTTATTCAACTCTGGGCTCCGTTTGTTTCCCTAAAAGCTCAAATCCAAATGATCCGGACCTTTCATGATTTCAAGGACTACTTCTTATAGGTCTTTTGAGTTGGAGGTGGGAGACAACAAGTTCATGGTTAATGGTCATCGTTTGAAGCACTACTTTTGCAAGGATGAAGTAGGCTTGATAGAATGTATGAGGCTTGATCCATTGGATCCTAAGCCACCTCTTGGATTTGTTGTTATGATTTGTGTGGTGTTTGATTGAAATTTGGTGTTCATGAAATGGTGTTTGGTTCAAAGAAGAGAAAAAGTGGGAAGGAACCACAAGGTTCAACATCCGAAAACCCCCAACCAAATGAACAACCTACTCCACCACCTTTGCCACCCCTCAAATTCCACAATAAAGATCACAAATCCATCTACGACAATCTGCAAAACCGGAAATTTAGACCCACAAAAAACTACCACCAACCCTCTACAACAAAGCTTGGCATAGACGACGATTGTTGGTTCCTATTCAACAATCTTATGTTAGGCTCATTTGTGACGAGTGCCTACCGGACCTATAAGGAGCCCACTCTTGAGTTCCTAGCCTCCTTTGAATGTCATGCCACGGGGGATAAGGACCTTGCCATCTCTTTTCAACTTTTCAACAAAAAAGAGACTGTTAACCTTCGCCAATTTAACCAACTATTGGACCTCAACCCGGACGCTGACATGTTCTTCCCTGAGCACGAGGTCTTTCGTGATTATAATCCCCTTGCGTGGTGGAAAGTCATCTCAAGGATGGAATCCTTCAATGCCAAGTGTTCCTTAGCCAGTCAAATCATGCACCCGGCCATTAGACTTCTACATCGAATCCTCGGGGTACATGGTTTTTAATAAACAGGACTTGGGAAAGATCACAGCGGAGGAAATCCGAATTTTGTGGCTAGCTACACAGCCAGAGTTGGGGCATAGAGTGAATTTCGGTTTCCTATTCACCAAGTGTATTGAAGGGGTTCTCTCGAGTACAAGGAAAGGGGAGATACATTTCGGTGGGATGATCACCCGGTTGGCCGAGAAATTGGGTCACATGGACAAGTTGGGTTCTTGCACTCCCATTGGGAGAAGTGATGGAAGTGATATCTTGCTCGATCTTGATCAATTGAAAACGATGAAATTCATTGCGGATACGGAGGATAAAGGGAAGACTTGGAGTTTGCTAGTCTCCCGTGAGCATCACTGTCTCCTCCCCAAGCCGGAGTTACAAGGGATGGGGTTAATCACCCTTGGTGGGTAAGGAAGGATTCGGGTGTCCTCCCGGTAGCAAGGATGGAAATGGGTGAAGGTCATGATGAAAGGCATGACAATGAAGAGGATGTGAACAAGGTGGAGGTGATCCCTCTAAGTCAACAACAACAACAACATCAACAAAGACAAGGAAGACATCAACAACAACAACAACAACAACAACAAATTCAACAACAATTTGACTACCATCAAAAGATGGTGGCGATGCGAGCCCAAATGGAGAGCATGCAACTTGGCATGAAAGGTATGCTCGCCTCCCAACAACACCATTTTTTCCAAACCCATGCCTTATACGATACTAGCGTACGTAGTGGGGATGTCACTCCCCCGGTAAACTACCCTTATGTGCTGACCCAACAAGGGCCCGTGCCATCTTGGGGGGGGGTGACAACCAACCTACGTACCTTTACTAGCAGGGTCACTCGGACCCCAATGTGCCGAGGCTTGACTTTCCCGATGAATCCGGTCATTATGACTACCGGGTTTCGGGTGGGAGTGATTACCGGGGTGACC